CCCGCCTTGCAATGTCGCAGGGGTGGTCGGGTAAATTCGCCGCATGGGCGGCCGAGGCTGAAAAAATGCTTTAGCTATTTATCCTGCTGATACTGTTAGCACATTGTTATTAAGCCATGCTACGCCTTTTTTCTTTGGGTCTTTTGTAGGCAGTTCGTTAAATCTTACCATTGCTATATTTTCCCCTTTATAGACAATAAAGTAATTATAATACATGTGGTATGTAACACTAACGCTGCCAGAATAATCGCTTATGATATATTCATTCCCGCTTGCGTCGTAACCTCTAACTCTTCCGTCTGCTGCACGCCCATCATAGTAATACACCTTAATATATTGAAGCTCTATATCCCCTGTAATAAAAAATTTTATTCTTGCCCCATAGTCGGACGGCCTAACTATCGTTTCGGTAGATTGAGGGACAATACTTTTTAAATGCTCCCAAAACCTCATTGCTTCACTTTCGCTTGTTCCGTATTCTTCCACGTTGAATTGTATATCTTCTTTTGACACTTTAAGTGATCCGCAATCAATCACGCCGCTAAAGCTTCCATTTGTTGCGTTGATGTCTACAAAGTCGCTTTTACCGGCGTGGTCGATTGCCCAGCCTTGCGTACCATATTCTGTAATATTCCCATCTGCGTTTATTGTGCCGTTGTAATTGCTACTTCTGATGATGCCTTTATCCTTAACAATGACTTGACGTGCAAGTATATTTTCTACATCAATCAATGAGGCTTTTATTTTGTTTTCGTCGTTAACAATTACGTCGCCGTCAATATAGATTTGGTCGGCCTGCAATTCAATTTGGCTTGCCAATAGTCCGCCCGACACTGCGTCGTCCCACAATGCCTTTACGTCGGCGTTGCTGGCGTTTGCCTTAATTCCGTAGTATGTCGTGTTTTCAATAAGCGCGTATACTGCGGCGACTTTTGCCTCGGTGCTGGACGCTACAAATTGTGCGCGGGTTGCGGCTGTAATTGTTACCGGTAAATTAAGGCTAAGGCTCATTTGTCCGGACGAACCGCCGCCCTCTACCAATGCGGTTACGGCTCCGGCCTGCACATTGATTAAACCCGTCAATTCTGCGGCCATGTCGTCTACCTGCTCTAATATTTGGTCTTTTGTGATGGCAATAAAGGCGCGCTGCTGCTCGTCTAGGTTTTCGACCTGCAGCAGGATTTCATCGGCGCTCATGCTTATGCTAGCGGACGCGTTGCGTGCGTCGTCGTCCATTTTCGCGATAATATCCTCAAGGCTCATTTCTACCGGCCGCAATTTGTAGACATTAGTAAACCTAACGCCCTTTGTTACGGTATCGACTGCCGCCTGCGCTGCTCCTGCGGCGTTCGCCTCCGCCTCGCTCTCGGTTATGTATTCGCGTTGGCTCTCTACTGTCTGCGCGTTGCTGTTCGGTGTCGTAGTTAAATTGCTGCGGTATTCCGGGAGCGTTCCGTACTCATACAGTGCGGGGTTATAATTAACCAATGTCAATGTATAGCCGTTTTCTGTTTCTTCTGCATTGGTTATTTTCATTGTCGAGGTAACGGTCGTAAACTCTCCGTCATTGTCCAGCCTGCCGAAACTAATATTGTTTCCTGCCGTCGGTATCAATTCCGCAGCGGCGCTCAATACCGTTTCCACGTGCAATATATCTGTGGTTCCCGTTCCCTGGACTTTCAGCGCCAATATTCCGCGCCCTCTGCTGCTGATGCAATTGACAATAACGCCGCAGGCGCCTGTTTCCGGGAATGTCACCACGCCGTCTAATTGGATATCCTGCAACATTCCGTTATGCCATACCAATGACTTTATGATTCCATGCGCAATACCAATTTTTAGGCTTCTGTGCTGCAATTCGACGCGGCTGTATAACGGATAATATGCCGATTCGAGGCCGGCCTTTACTGTCACGATCTTCGGCTGCGCTATATCCTGCGCCATCTTCCGCCATGCGATTTTAAAGGCGTGCTGGTAGTCGGTTACATATTCAAGAGCCGTTTCTGTCAAAGTGTCGGTTGCTGGGTCGTACGGTTCTCCGTCCCTCATAAACGTTACGCTGTCAACATCGTAACCCGCCTCGCGGTTGACGTATGTCACTTTAGTTCCGTTCGCCTTTCGCTTGAATTCTTTCGCTGTGGATATGCTTATAATATTTTCACTGTTCAGCAGAGCAACAGAATAGTCGCGGCCGTTATCAATTGCGACTTCCATTTTTCCCGTGAGATTGTTGTATACAAGGGCGGCGTTTCCGTTTCCGCATAATGTTTCGATTGTCGCTTTTTTCTTTGTTCCTTTTACAATAACACCGTCGGCGTGGAATGATTGGCCGCCTGCGAATTCTTCCGGCTCTGCGCAATACTCATACCATGCGCCGAAACTCTCAAGGTCTAATTCGTCGTCATTGTATCGGCTCGGCTGGTGGTGCTTGTTTGTCAGCAGCTCCAAAACCCACGCCGCAAGATTCCGCGTCGGGGTCTTTGCCTCGCTCCATTCTGTGCCGTTCCATGTTCGGGCGCAGCCGGATTCTATAACGCTGATTGCGTCTAAGATGCCCTCTGTGTTTACGTTTGCCGCAATCCTTACGCCGATTCGGCAGCATTTGTCGCGTTCTGTCGGCTCCAATACGTCGGCCGTCACGAGGCTGGTGCTGCTGCTTTTCTTTGCATCATAGCAGGTTGTTTGAACCGCCAATAAATAAACATTTTCTTTAGATGTGTCCTTTGTTTTTGGCGTTGTCCTCAATATGCGGACTTTCATGTTTTTGTTAAAAGCCTGCTCCGCCGTAAATTCTTGGCGCACTGAATAGCGCATCTGCCTTTTTGTGTTATATGAAAATGTATTGCTATATGTGCCGTTCTGATTAAAACCCGCGTCAAAGTCTACCCAGTCGCTTTCTTCTGGGTTGTCCTTATTTGTCCATTGCGGGCGCAGTTTCACTGTCTGCGCTTCCCATCCGTCATTGTATTTCTGCAAGCCGTCAAACAATACAATCAATTCAACCGCTTTTGCATGGCTTGCCAATTCCTGCACAACGCCCGCTTTCCATTCCTTTTCTATGCGCTCGTTTTCTGTCGGGTCGTCCGTTGCGTGGTCGTGCGGTATCTCTTCGCTCAATTCCGTCAAAACTATTTTTTTGTTGAATTCCGCATCGGTGAACGCGCCGGTCTGTCTGATTTCAATTAAATTGCGCGCGTCATAGTATACGCCGGTGTCAAAGGCGTATTGTCCGTTTTGCGGCTCTGATATTTCGGAGAAGTCCTTTATAACTATTTCGCCCATCTTGATTTTTTTAATCAAAATATTATTATAGGCTACTTCTAAAACTACATTGTAGTATTGTTCGTCGCCGCGTTCGCCTGCAATGGTGTAATGTGGCGGACAAAGTCTGTACGGTGTCATTAGCGATTCGCCGATAGCGTACGGGAATGAGCGGCCGGTTGCGGCTTGGTTTCGTGCGCCTTTTACAAACGGCAATTTTCCGGACGTATCTGCTGCGGCTTTGCTGGCTTTTTGTGCGTCCTCCATTGCGGCCATTGCTTTTTTATTGTTGTAAATGCTTACGCCAACAGCGACGCCGGTTCCTACTAATGCTACTACGCCCGCTACAATGGCGGTTACTGCCAGCGCTGTGGCTCCGGTTGGTGTTTTACGAATGTATAAAACGTCGTCCGGCTGAACCTCGTAGTTTTCGTCGATACGGTAGCCGCCTTTTAAAATTATGCTGTTATCCCAATCTACATTATTTATATGATCTTTAATTTTTCCGCTGAATGTGTAAGAAGTATGTTTGTTTATTCCGTCAAATACGTGTAATAATGCCATATATGCCCCTTATTTTAAAAATGCCTATTTGATTTATGCGGCAGCCCAGCCGTGTCATGTGGATAAACTCGCGGTCGTTTATGCAGACGCCCACGTGTATTTCTTCGCCGTATTCCATTTCTATAATTGCGCCCTCGCGTGGTGCGTCTATGGGCGTAACGTTCAGCGTCGGTACGTTTTCGGCGCTCAATGCTAAACTATGATCTTCGTATATTACGTCGTTTAGTTTGTAGCCGTAGCGCCGCGAAACCTCAATAGCTAAACCGTAGCAATCGTAGCCGCTGGCGTCGCGTCCGTGGTCTTTGTATGGTGTGCCGATTAAATCATTTAATTCTATTTTCATGCCCTTATAGTCATTTTTTAGGCGTTGCCGCGGTTGTTGTCTGCGTCGAAAACATACGGCGGGAATGTCATATCTAAGCGGTCGTCGTTTGTAAATGATATTGTCATTCTCATTTTTTCGTCACTGACTGCCGTTCCGTATTGATGCCGGAACATTTTTATCGGCGTGATTGTTCCCGCGCTGTTCAATACGCCGACGGCTGTCACCTTGAACAGCTCGTCCGATTCCTCGATTATGTCTATAACCTCATTCTGTATTGTTGTTATTTCAAGGGAACCGTTTTTTAGAACGCCGCCGATTGTCTGCGGTCGCGTGTATTTAAAATTGCTGGCGTTGTATGTGACGCCGTTGAATGTCACGTCCTCGGTGCTGTTAACAAAATAAAGCGCGCCATAATCGGGGTGCTCCATCTTGATAAGATACGGGAGCGAAAACGCCCCGCCGCGATACAGCGCGTCAATAACTTCGGCTTGCGTCATGTCCTAAACCTCCACCCACTGCATGTTTATCTCTACGATTGCGCCGCCATGCTCCGGCGCGGTCGGTGTTCCTGCAAACATATATTCTTGTGTGCTGCCGTCGCCGCGTAGGCTGGGCGCCGTGAATGTCCCGGCATTGCCTCCGAGGGTGTTTTCATACCAATTAAAAAATATAGTTTTCTGCGCTTTCGTGGCTGCATAAGATACGGCGTATTTTCTTTTGTTCTTGCTGTTCTTCTGCGTTGCTATAACGCGCCCGCTGTCGAACTGTGTCTTAATTGCGTTGTCCTCATAACCCGATTGCACGCCGTATAGTTTGTCTAACGGCAGGTTTGTTGTGTCCCATGCTACGCTCATAATATTCTAACCCCCTCTTGTCGTGTGTTCATTGCGGCTAAACCTGCGTCGTATGTTCCGTCGGTAAAGCCTTTGTTTATATGCTTGTCCAATATGTCTATAAATACTTCGCCGTCTTGTTCGCGGACGTCTGCGTCTACGCGGTTGGCCTGCGTATTGTTTACGGTCAGATTAAGGCCGTCCGGCTGCCTGCTGCCCATTCCGTTGATTATATCCCAAAGGCTGCGCTGCTGGTCTGCGTTCAATACCATTTCACCGCCGCGGGCGTGTATATATGTATTGTCACTTCCCATGCTTGCGCCGTTTGCGCCTCCGATAATACCGCCGGCGTAAAATTGTGGCGGTACCGGTTTACTAGCGATAATAGACGCGATTTGTACAGCTCCGGCTGCTCCTACTAATGCGCCCGTAATAAGGCCGGCTGTTCCGCCTTGCGCTATGGCTTTGCTGACGCCCTCTGCTATATTGGCGGTAGCGGCTAATATTGAGGCCGTCCATTGGAACATTTGTATTTTGTATTCTTCCTGCGCTGCTTTGCGTTTAATGGCTTTTTGCTTTTCGTAGTATTGTTCCTCGCTCATTTCGCCTTTTTCGTATTTTTCGTCCAGCTTTGCTAATTCGAGGTCGGTTTCTGTCTGTACGTTTTTAAGCATTAAATCGCCGAACTTTTGCGCTGTGTCAGCGATTTGTTCAGAATAACTATTTATTTCTACAACTGTATCTTTCCATAAATCTTTTTTATTCTGCAGGTATTCCTTATCTAAATTTTCTAATGCTTTGTTTTTGTCTTTTTCTCTTAAAATTTCTTCATCATTTATTTTTTTTAGTTCTTCTCTTGTTTCCTCTAACTTCTTTTGTTTTCTTTCATATCTTTCAAAAAGGCTGTCATATTCGTCCGTATCTTTTATTGACTTTGCTTTTTGTATTGCCTCTTGTCGTTTTTCTTCGGCTTCGCTTTGTTTTAAAACAGCCTCTCTTTGTTTTTCAATTAATTTAAGTCTTTCTTTTGCGGCTGTATTGTTTTTGGTTATTAACCCGTTAGATTTTGTAATTAATTCTATATACGAATTAAGATAAGCATTATATAAATCCCCCTCATTTATTTCTTTTCCCGTTGCCTCTGCTTTTAAGTTTATCGCTGCTATTTGTTCGTCTAATGCTTTTTTATTATCACGAATTAAAGCAGCTGCTTTTTTATTTCTATCGTCTATTTCTGCTTGTTTATCTGATTTATTGGCCGCTTTTGCTGCTTTTTCTTCTGCCTCTTTTAACTTTTCATACTGATTTGTTAAGCGCTCTACTTCTTTTTCGAGGCGTGCTATTTCCTTTTCGTTTTCCTGCGCTGCTGCCTTGAGATACGCTCCGCCTTTTGTATTGGTTGCGTTTACCGTTTGCGCAGTCGGCCTCATCGGTGCGCCGCTGTCGCGCCTCATGCGTGGGGACATTTTCCCGTACTGCGCGTCCCATTCGGCTTGCAGTTCCTCAAGGCTTTTTGTGGTTTTCTCAACTTCCTTTACATACCGTTTGTTTATTTCCTGCAATTGACTCAAGCGTGCCTGCGCATCGTCCAGCAGAATTTTTTTGTCTGCTGCTGTTGCCGTGCCTGTCGTGTCTTTCTTGCCTGCGTCCTTGATTGCGTTTGTTTTTGCCGTTGCCTCGTTAATATTATTTAATACGTCAAGAAAGAATTGTTTTACCGGCTGGGTTACATTCTGCCAGCCTCGGCCGATATTTTCTTTAAAATCGCCCCATGCGTTAGAAAGCTGCACCTCTACGTCTGCGGTAGCGGCTGCCATGCCTTTATACTGCTGGGCCACCAATTCTATGGCGCGGCCGTTTTCGAGTTCTTCTTTTGTCAGATTGTTTATTGCGCTAATTTGACGGCCTAACGCTCCAGCATTACCGTTATATGTAGCGTTAAGTTGTTGTGCTACACTACCAATATCTTGACCGGTAGCTGCTGCCATATCTGCCGAGGCCTGCATGATCTGCATAATTTCATTCTCGGTTCTTCCGGTTGCTGCTAGCTGTGCCATTATCTGCATGCTTACTTCGTCGCCAATTTCACTAAAACTTTGTAGCGCGCTAGCAAATTTCTGTAAATTATATACGTTTTCTTCATTTAAATACGGGTTGTTCTTGGCGGCGATTTGCAACGCCTCTTCTGCGTTCGCCTGCGTTCTGTATGCCGCCGCGCAATCGTTCAAGACTTCGACCGTTTTCTTGATTGCCGCCGCCGCCGCTATTCCTGCGACTGTTGTTCCGTTGATTTTCCCCTTAATGTCTTTCAGTATGTCGCCGAGATTCTTGTTTTTCTTTGCGGCCTTTTCAACCGCATCACCGCTTTTCTTTGCAGCGTCTGCGGTCTTGTCCAACTCCTCATTGAATTTCTCTTCTTTTTTTGTTTCCTTTTCGGTTTCGACACCTAGACTATTCAATTTGACTTTTAGGCCTTTCAGTCCCTCGTTTAGTCCGCTGGTGTCTAATTTGGTATCTATTTTTACTTCGCCATCTTCCATTGTTTACCCCTCTAATTGCGCCAAAAAATCGTCTAAGGCCTCGTCCGGTTCGTTGTCCTCCGGCTGCGGTAGTCGCCAGGCCTCATATTGCTTCTTCTGCTGCTTTTCATACTCGCCGTTTTTTCCGTTTGGTTTCCAAAGCCGCGCCGATATGATGCGGTTTAATTCTGTGTCGTGCAGGCCGTGCAATAATGCCAAAAACTTGTACCAATGCAGGCGCGTGTCTATTAGGTCTATGTTGTATCTTTCAAAAAATGCGGCGTAAATATATGGCGCGTCTTTGTCGTAATCTAATACAATGTCGCCGGATTCCTCGCCCGTGCTGCGTGGCAATTCTCGCGGCGGGTTCATAAAGTCATATATTGCGGTTATTCCCTCCAAACGCCCGGCCGGTATTTCGCTTATATACATAAAATCGAAAGCCGTTAACGGGGCGTTCTTGTCGCTTAGTAATTCGCGAAAGCGGAGGATATATTTAAAATCTGTGTGAATTGCAAAAAAACGCCCGCCGACCTTTACAGCCTGCGGGAGCTTTGCCTTTTTAAGGTCAATCATTTTTTACGCTGCCGGTGTGAATGTGTCGTCGTCGAATGTGTCACCGTTCTCCCATTCTCCGGCAACCCATACCGGCTCGCCGCTGCCGTTCAATGTTACGGCGCCGGTTTTGTGCTTGTTCAGCGCGAGGTCGAAGTCGATTGACTGATTTACGCTGTCCAGCGTATTTAGTTTTACTACGCTGTCAACAAGCCACGCCTTGTAATAGGTTGTTGTTGCCGTTACCTCGTAATAATCAGAAGTTGACGGGTCGCCTGCTGGTTCTTCAACCGGTGTATACACATAAGCGCCGGCTGTTCCGGTTCTTGTGTAGTATGTCTTTGCAGGGTTCACTTCCGTATCTTCCGATAATTCGTATGTATTGGCATCATATTTGCTGGCGTAAAATGCCAAAAGAACGGGACGGTGTGCGTCGCCGCCGGTTGGCAGCTTAAACGCCATGTTGAAAATGGTTTTAAAATCCGGCTCGTCGTCGAACATTGTCAATGACTGCGACAGTGCAGGCTGATAACTGTCAATTTCTTCTTCCGGGTTTTCGCTGGAGATAAAATCGAAGGTTTTGGTCTGCGGGTTGAACGCCAGAGAATAAGTGGTAGATTTCTTGATTCGCCGCCATACGTTAGGCATTTTCTTTGAAATGTCAATAAACGGCACGAATTTTGTTTTGTGAATAAGTCCCATGTTTTAAGCCTCCATACTTTCGCGCGGCTCTAAATATGTGCATACTATGGCCGCGCTGTATATTGTATTGTTCTTCTCGTCAATGCTTATGAACTGCGGCAGGGTTGCCGCCTCAATCTGAATATTGACGCCGCTGGTTTCGTCCGTAATTTCTACGCCGTCCAGCCTTGCCGTGATTTCGTCCGCATACTCGCGGGCTTTTGTCCGGTTCTTGTTTCTGACGTAATATGTAAGATTCCATTTTAGCAAGCGCGTGCCGTCGATGTAGCGCCGTTCGGCTGCCGGTGCTGGGTCGTAGCGTAGGCAGGCCGCGTTGTCGCTGGTGTCCGGTATTACGTCATTGTAAATCGTAAATGGCAGATTTAGTTTTTTTTCAATCCAATCATTTACAATATTGCTAACGTTTAATGCGCTCATTTATGAACCTCACCCATTTGTCAAGCCACCGCGCTTTTGCCGCCTCAAACCATTTTCCGCAGGCGTTCGGGTTCGGCTGGTATGGTGGCTTGTGATAGTCGTAATATTGCCGGCGTGCGTATGGTGTACGCCATACAATTTCGCCGGAGCCCAGCCTTGTGTTGATTAGCGACGAAACCTCCATAGTGTGGGTTTTAATCGGTATAAAATAGTTGCTATCCAGCAAAACCAGCGCGTCAAAGTATTTTTGCTGCTGCTGTATTTTGCCCTCAATGTCGCTTTTTATTCCCGATTCTTTTAATGTGCTTTTAACATTAAATGTTAAACCGCTCATACTAAGGCCGCCTCGTAGTGGTGGACGGTGTTGCCGCCCTGCGTGCTGCATGGATAAACCTTGCGTATTGTGTACGCGTGGCCGTTCCATGTTACGCGCGCCAATTCCTCGGGCGTTATGTCCGGACCGGATATGCCCGGCGCATAATACAAAGTCCCTTTGTCGTTTTTTGCCTCGCCCTCGCTATTGCGAACGGTTGCCAATTCCATGACCACGCGCACGCGCTGCAATTCTACCGGCGCCCCGTAAGTCTTGTTGCCGTCGCGGTCGCTGGTTGCCGGTGCCTCATATTGGCAGGAATGTATCAATAGATTTTCCATTAGCGCACCCCGCTCAATATGTCGCAATAAAGCGAAAGCCATTTGTATTTTTTTTCGGCTGCGCTCTTTGCGTTTTTTTCCGTCGCAATGTCGGCGGCCTTGCTGCTCTTGGAGTAGCTGTAACCGCCGATAGATTCCGACGTAATGGCGCCACCTGCCTTGCCGCTTTCAATCTGCGCGGCGTTGTATGATTCCTCAATCATCATGCAGCAGGCGTTGTCTATTCCTCCGGCCTCGCGTTCCTTAATCAAACCGTCATTCAATAGAGATTTAATATAAAGAACGTTTTCCAGCTTGTACTGTTCAAAGGTGGCGGCGTCCGGTACGATTGCGCGGCCGAGGTCGCTTGAATAATGTGTGTAGGTTACATTTTCAAAATGTGCCATTTTCCGCCGTCCTTATGCTATGCCAATACAAGCGCAGTTGCGTCGATTTCGAACGACTGTGTTGCTGTTCCTGCGGCTGTTCCGACGCTCATGTATTTACCGCCGTATATTGCGCCGTCTGCTGTAAGGCCTTTTGCTACAATAAGGTAGCGTGTGCCGTCTACAACCTTAATGTCGCCGGCTGGGATTGCCTCAAGGCCGCTTGTCACTTTTGATTCGCCGCGGCCATAGTGTGTTACGTCGTCAGCGATTTCCACCATAAAGATAAAGTTATTCTTTACAGTGTCCGATCCATAAACGGCTGTTGCTGCTGCTGTTGCCACTGCTGCGGCTGCGCCGGTTCCCTTAATTACGTAGTCGGTATCTGTGCCGGCTGCGATTTCTGCTTTTGTTCCGGTTGCGTCAAGTTTCTGCCCGCTTACGTTGTATGTTTTTGTAGGATAGTTTCTTACGCTTGGTTCGTTCGATTCAATGTTTACATAAACAGCGTCGTTTGTTCCGTCCAATCCGTTCGGAAAAACGAATGTGTCCCAAAGGTCGCGGCGCTGGTAAAGGTCGCCGTCGCCCTCTGTGTGTGTGCCGTTTGCAAACAGTCGGATATTGTTGAACTTGATTACGGTCTTAACCATGCTTGGGTGCGCGATTGCCACATTGATTTTTGAACCGTTAGCAACAAAGCCGTCTGAATAGTCAAACGATGTGTTGAAGCGGGAATCGTCCACGACCTCAATGATTGTCACGCCGTTGATAAACGCGATGCGTGTTTCGATTCCCTGCCTTTCGTTGATGGACATTGTTTTAATGTCGAGTGTTTTTGAAACCTCTGTGCTGCTTTCGAGGTTGTCCATGATTTCGCCCGATACATACGCAATCAAGCCGCCCATTGCGCGGTATTTCTTCAGCTCTTTGCGCTGGAACATTTTCACAAGGCGGCTGTATGTGTTGGCCGCTGTGAATCCGCTCATTGTTTCGTAATATCCGTCAGCGATTGCTGCTTTTGCTACTTTCTCAAAGAAGCGTGCGTCTGTTTCCGGTGCGCTGTGTTTCTGCGTAAATACGCGCGATACGTTCTGCAGGTTTGCCGTCTGCTTTGTTTCGTCCACGTCGGCCACATCAACGAAGAATTCAATGTCGCGATCATGCTCAAGTGTGAATTCCTTGTCCTCCTGCACGATTGAGCCGCGGTTGTAACCGCCATTGCGTGAATGGTTTTTAAAGCCGCTTACGTCCATTTTTGTGAAATGGAATGTCTTAGCGCCGAGCCATTTTACGCGCTCGTTAGGTGTCAAGAACGGGCTTGAATATGTCCCGTCGTCGATAATCTGAAGCAGTTCGTCGCTCCACTGTTCAGCATAATTCATAACATTAGCCATGTTTTTTTTCTCCTCTTACATTAGCCTTTGAATCTGTTCCAGCTTGCCTTTGGCGGTGCTGCAATTCCTGCGGCTGCTGGTGTTGTTGGCTGCGCTGCGGCTGCCATTGGTGCAACTGTCGGCGGTGTCGGGGTGTTGTCATTTTTGAAAATGTCCGTTTTCCCGTCAGTAATTGCTTTGAGCAGGTCGTCTAATGACTTGCCCTTGTTCGCGGCGTCGTTCATTGCGTCGTAAAGCTGCGCGTTGATTGCGTCGCGTGTTAGTTCGTTCACAAACTTTTTGCCGCTTGTAAAGTCCTTAACTTTTGCTTTGTCCTCCAGCTGCTGCACTTTTGCGGCTGTTTCAGCTTTTGCGTCTGCTGCTTCTTTTTGGTATTTTAGAACCGAGGCTTTTACTTCCTCGTAGTCTTTCATACTGTCAATAGTGGCATTTGCTTTTTCTAGCTGCTTTTTCAAGTCGTCATAATCGCTATATTTTGCTTTTTCGCGGTTGATGTCGTCGCCGTTAAGTTTCATGACCGTGTTAATCTGTTCATCGGTCAAGCCTGCTGCTGTGAGTTCATCTCTTTTCATTTTGTCCCCTCTACGCGTTAGTTTTACGCCGTCGCCGCGGCAATGGTTAAAAATAAAATTGCGCTTGTTTTACGCGCTGCGCTGCGCCGTCACCGCCCTGTGGGTGGTTCTTCTTTATAGTCATTTTTTTTATATGTTTTTGCGTGTTAAATAAAAAAGCGGCAGGCCTCCGAGGTGCGAATGGAAACCCGCCGCATAATGTTTCTAATTAGTTTGATTTTTTAGCGTAAATCATGCCAAAAATAACGGCCAATAGTGCCAATGCTGCGCCGCTGATTTCTGCAAAAATTGATTGATTCAAGCCGCCAATGCAGCATAGTACGCCGCCGCATGCTGCCAATACAATAATTAAAACGGTCGCC